AATGCTACACGCAGAACAATGCATATTTATGCGATAGCAGCAAATCGCAATTGATTTGCTGTCACTATTTGAAGAGTTCTGTTGTCTATCTCCGAAACTCATCATCAACTCGAACGGAGAACTATAATACGCGAACGGAGAGATGGAGTTATGCCCAAACATACATTCGCCCTTATATTTGAAGTCGGTAAAATATCGGATAACAATACAAAATCTATATCTTATCTCTATTTAAAACTTCTTTTGCAACACGTTTTTGCCCTTTCTCATAAGGCTCAGTCTATATCAAGTTAAGTTTTGTTATAAAAAACCTGTACTGCAAAATATTTTTATGTTTATTTATTTAAACAGGCTTACGAAATACATAAAGAAGAATTTATTATTTTTATTTATAAATATTTTATTTATAAAAATATTTTATTTTATAAGTTTAACATTGTATACTTATATGCATTTAAATTAAATTAAACACACCATAGAATAAAATACTTCCGTTAAGGAGAAAAGTAACCCACACTAAACTAGCACTGCAATAAAATAATAAAATTAGAACAAAAAACATAACATTATTAAACGGTTTTATTTAGCTCGACCCGTACGGAATTTGTTTGTTTATTTGGGTCAAAATTAGAAATTGAAATTTAAGCACCTTCCCGTTGTCAGATTGATCTGAAATTTGGTACACACATTTAATTTAGATGACAATACAATATTGCAGTTTTCAGTGCACATAAAATAAAACCGTTTAACTTCAAAGTTTTTAAACGGTTTTATATGATGTATAAATAGAAAAAAAGAAGAAAGAAAAATCTTTTAAAATGTAAAAATTATTGAGCTTTGTAATGTGCTAGCGCCTTCCTCTTAAAAACATTAATGCTATCAAAATGGATATCGACATAGTCGATTTTATCGTCGGATCAAGAAACTTTTTTTATAAGAACAAGATACATATTAAATATTTATTTAAACACAATTTTTGTAATATTTTTTAACCTTTTTTGGACAGAACTTATATTAAATATTTCAGATTTGATGAATCCCGTAATTGGACTTTCTATTAAAAAAATTGGATTCTCCCAGAAGCATTGTCGCTCGTTAGCAGTACTAAGAAAACAAAATAAAAAATACGAAATTATTAATAAATCAGTATGTCCAATGCCTGAAACAAGGAAGGAATTTTGGCATAAATTACCTGTCAATAATTCGTCGATGTTTGCAACTGCAGTTATCCATGATTTCCAATATTTAAAAAAAATTAAACGGTTTCATTAAAAATCATGTTACTAGAATTGAGTCAATGAGATATTTTGATTTATACTGTAAGGATGGCGCTCTGTGGGTCCTTTTTAAAAAAAACACTTTTTATTGGCTGTAAGGAACTTTAATTCTGACACACAACTACGTTATAAAAATGATTGTTATCGGACCGAGTATAGAGGTTGACTGCTTGATGTTGACTGCCGTACTTGGGCATCGAAACTGTTTTTATATAACTCTAAATTGCTGACCTACACAAATACTCCATATTTTAAATTGTACATAACAATTCGTTTCCTAAACCATAATAAAACCTAGCAAGTACTCTTACTATGTTCGGAAACTGGCGCTACTCGAACTTTATTATCTTTTGTCAATTATCAAGGTCAGTAAGGGGTATAAAATATGTAACATAAATAAACATGACACTATCTCCCTCATCCACCACCCAGACACTATGATCAGCACACAATATTTTTCTAGTAGTTGAACCCACACCCTCTGGCGCAAGAAACAGAAAACCATTAATATTTTCATTAAAATTAAATTAATATTATAACATAATTTTCATTAAAATTAAATTTAACATTAAGATAAATAGAAAAAATAAACATATTATTACTAATTTTCTCACTATTGTAAATAATGGTTATACTCACTTTATAAATATGCTCTATATTATATAATATAGAGTATAATTTATATAAATATAGAGCAGTTTAGTTAGAGTCTGTATCTATAACTTACCAAAATATAACTTAGCTGCAACTTACTCTATAATTTAATTTTCGACTCTGGTTCACAAAAGACGACGAAGACACGAAATCAGACGCCGTACACGTACAAAGGGAAAGTTTGATCAATAAACAGGGTATTTCGACATTGATTCTAATGCAGAAGTATAAATTTTTATTGTAGCCTTTAAAACCCTGTAATTAATGTTATTTGAAACGTGATACGAAATGCCTTCGTCATCCTTTCATCATCATCATTTCAGCCCGTTTGAGTTCACTGCTGAGCATAGGCCTCCTCCATAGACTGCCACGAAGTACGATCCTAAGCCACCTGCATCCATCGACTTCCCGCATATTTGCACAGGTCGTCACTCCATCTAGTTTGGGGTCGTCCTACACTGTGATGGCCAGTACGAGGCTGCCACTCCAGAACCTTTCTTCCCCAACGGTTTCGGGTCTACGAGCTATATGGCCGGCCCATCGCCACTTCAGCTTGCTATATATGGTTGGCTCCAGTGATTATCATAAATTTAGTATGTGCGTAGATTGGGGGAGGGGGGGGGGGGGGGGGGGCGAAAAATCAGTCGGTAATTGGGCGGCTCCGAAACAGAAGGCCGCTGTTCGTATCACGATCATTAACACACTTATTTTTTTACTTTTTTTTCTGTACCTGAAAGCAATGACTTTTTTATTTTTTATTTTTTTATTTCCAAAATACACGATTTATCAAAAATACCGGTCCTCCAGGTACTATATATATATATATATATATATATATATATATATATATAGACGTAAAACAGCCAACGCAAGTGAAAAAATACCGAACAGGCCGTAGCAATACGTTTCACTGAAACTATCGCCACTGCCAAGTCTAGGGCCCCGCCGGCCTAAATTCGTCAGAAAGGGATGCTAGGGCAACACATTTTGTATGGCCTACCTATCCCTCGGGAGAAAGTCAAATACTTCACTTTCATCTCCAAAATTTCATTTAATACTCACAATGAAATCGTTAGGCATTGAGCCGCGTTCGTATGGGGTCAACTCCAAAACTATGGTACATACATGTTCACAGACTTGATGCATATAAAGCGGCTTTTAATACATCAATAGAGAAGGATAGTCGAATATTAAAATAGCGGCACTTGTACAAATAAAGGTCAAATTATTTTTAATCAAGAGAAGCCATCCATGTTTCGGGTAGGCTCATTTAGGTAAATAGTAGAACGATATAAAGAAAACGATATACATTGACTTAAAGAACCATAATAAGCTAATTTTATACAGTAAATAAATGGAGATAATTTTATCTTTTATTCGCATAATAGCATTTAATAACATTTTTCATAAATCGCCAATTGGCTATAACTTTAAGGTAATGTTTTATATAAATTTGTATCTAATACATAATTAATAAAATAGTCGAGGAGAAATTAAATGCAAATATCAATCTAATATATAAAATTCTCGTGTCACGGTGTTTGTAATAGAACTCCTCCGAAACGGCTCGACCGATTTTCGTGAAATTTTGTGTGCATATCGGTCAGGGTGGAGAACCGAACTGCATCTATTTTTCATCCCCCTAAATGTTGAGGGTGGTCCACCCCAAGCATTTTTTTCTACCCTACAAATAATTTATATGGCAAAAAAACGTTTGCCGGGTCAGCAAGTCTTAATATAAGAACGCACTTATAAACTAGTTGATTTACTACACAGCGGAGACATAACTCTGTTCTTTTGCAGATTCTTACACTACGCGCTTCTAGGAGCAACTCTTTAAATTTAATCAAATATGTAACAGAATGGATTTTACAATTTATTTTGGTTCACGCTCGCCTACTTTGCAGAATCATACTTTACTTTTTCTCGAGCGACACGACTTAAGGATCTTCAAGAAGAAAACTTACTTTTGCAATTTCTCTTCTGTTGAGGGAAAGAAGTGTTGTTCGTAACCATATTAAAAGAAATAAAAATTTCCGTTTTTACATTACAGTACTCGGTTACTATGAAATCCTCTTTGTTTATCTAATAATTATTACCCATGTTATAATATATTTAAAAATTAGATTAAAAAGTATTTTAAAATGATAGCTCAGTGACAAGATTCTCGCTTTTTATCCAATGTATGCACCGGGATTTGAACTCAGGTGAGTTCAAATCCTGGTGAAGCACCATTGAAATTGTTAGTTGCGATTTTAAGTTTCGGCTGACTTATTACCTACTCCGTGGGGACGCGTGGTGAATTAGTCCCTGATACTTGTGTTTAGAAGACCCTGCCCTTGAGGACATACGAAAACACAATTATCATAAAAAAGGCAAGTTGTCTGTTTTTGACAAGACAGCTTATAAGATACAATACAGATGATAAAGATATTTTAGTTTATAATGCTCTTAGCAACCGATCAAGATTGTTACATATGAAATACACACACACAGTACCAATCGGGAATCTTGCAGACTGTGGACATAAATTAAAAAATATTTATTCATGTTCTTAACTACAAAACGGTATTGTATCTTCATGCGTATTTTAGGCAGCCATACTCATATGTAGCTGGTACGTTACTTTACGTAAACATAACAGTTTCCACGTTTTCCATGTATGCGTTCTTATACCATTCTTCTAGATTATGGAGTTCATTTCCGCAATGTTTTCAGGACTACTTACAAAAATAAATTACAAGCAGAAAATTCAGTAAAATTACTACTTTATTAACCAATCACAATGTTAATAATTAATAATAATAGCGCATATATATTGCTTACACAATTTGCAAATTCTAAAATAAACCATATTTTGTTGACTCCTTAGTACCCAAAAGAATTTGCAGGAAATCGAATCTAGTAAAGATTCGATTTCCTAAAGTAACTTGGTTCTATTGAATGGATAGCATTCAGCTTCATCAGCTTTCAGCATTCAGCTTTTCTATCTCTGTCTATTACTACATTATTGTATTCAATTATTATTTATATTTTTTTAAGAGAAAACCACATGAGCCGCGTGTATTAATCTTCTTGATCGTTGAAGATACACTTTTTGGTAGATGCTCTCTTGGCAGACCATTTGCTTATTATTGATTTCTTATCATATTTATCTTCAGTTACTTTATCGTTAGGTCCTTCATCATCAAGATTTTCCGTGGATATAGCGGGAGAGATGGTGACATTAAAGTCGCTAAATAACGACTTGCGTGGAAGATATATCCCAAATCGATCCTGTGATCAGAGTTCAAAACTATCGATATCGTTCTACTACTAAGTTTTTAAGATTAAGCTCAGCCGAATGACAATTTAAATATTTCAATGTAAGATGTAACTGTGTGGAATCGTCATAGTTTTATAGAAGAAACCTTGTCCACAAAGTCCAAATTCTTACCCGAGCTACGAAACATATTCACAACATACTATTCTTTTCCGTCCGGTTACAATATTCTATCTGTTGATTTATTTACTAACGATAGGTATTTGACATTAGCTCCATAATATTTACGTCTAAATTTTATCTCTAGTAACCAAATCTACAATTAGACAGAATATTTAAACCGGCCGTTAGTCCATACGTACAGGCATAAATGCCAGGTTATCAAAGTCATAAAAGTAGAAAATGGTAGTAAAATGGATGTGGAGTGGTTAAATAACAAATAAATATTAAGAAATTTTACCTAAAAACTATTGTTTCTTCAGTCAATATTCCATAAAATATACAAAATTAATTACTTTCCTTCAAAGAGTCCCTTACTTCTCTCATTTTTTTAAAAATTAAAGTAGTTTTTTTTTCAGACAGCATTTCAATGAATGTAATATCAATACAAACTTTACAATTTTACTAAGCACGAGTAAAAGCGAAACATTTTTTTATCCCTTACCATGGATGCATTTAATAAAAACTCTGTGGCTACATAAAATGTTTTGAGAGCTATTTGAATCATGGCTTGCTTTGCAGATTGGAGTAACAACCTTGTGTAATCACTACTTTAACGCAAGTTGGGACTGATTAAAATTTACGTTGACTTTCCTTAAAAGTATTTCATATCTCCGAGCTAAAATGAGAACCCTAGTCAAATACTTGCTTCTACCTTATATTTTCATAATCAAATACCTATATCATAAATAAATGTCATAACTGTATTATATATCGTAGAATTGTATGGAATTATATCGATAATGTGGTGACATTATCAGGAAGTCTTAATTGTACCTTCTTATGGACTAACTATAAACGTGTTATGCATCTTATATCTTCGACAGAGAAGTACGAGTATATTAAACGAACCTGGCAGTAATATAACTTTACTTGATGATTTTTATTTCATGTATATAAGGCCTGAATAATGACGATGAAATTACACAAATAAATACTTCATATGAAGGCTTATTTCCTTGATGAATGATAAAAGTAAATTTATCTGTTTTGGTTTAGAAATAGAACATAAAATACTATATGGATTGTTAATTCTAAAAGTACCTTGGGATACCGATTGTACATATATTGCGGATGACAGATGCAAGGCCGAGGCGGAGGAACTTTGTAGCTCTCATGTGATGAAGGCTCGCTCTTTAATGTTGGTGGAGTCTCGTAACCTATAAATGGATTATAAAATTCATTATATTTCATACTAAATCAAATTTCATATTCAGTAAATCAAAATTGATACAAACAAGCAAGAATATTAACAACCATAATATTACTTAAAACCTTTTATAAATTTCGAGTTGAATAATTATGTAGGTTTGGCCGATGAACTGCGTTTAACCTAGTTGTAATTTTATAGTTTTTATTGGTAGAACAAAAGATTAATTTTTGTAATAACGTGAATTATTTTTGAATTAAGTTAATATTTATTAAATGTTCTTGTATGATATGTACCAAGTATTTTTGAATTAAGTGAAAATTTTACGGTGGCAAAGCCACACAGTTGCCTCGGCTGTTGCACGAATGTGTAGGCTCGTCCGAGTAAGTACCGCGACCTCACAGAGGACCGGCGTAAAGTGGAAGTATAATACTTTCGTGTTTCGTCTGGTGAGTAAGATGAGCCCAATTTACAAAAAGCTGTCCAACGTATCTGCAACCCTAGAGTGTAGCAGAGTGCCCATGGGCGGCGGTATTCACTTAACATGACCCGCCTGCTGGCTTGACAACTTTTCACATAAAAAAATAAGGTAATATTGATGTACTCGTATGTTGTGTGAATAAAATATTATGAAATACTCTACTGGATTTAGTACATGCTTAAACGATCAAGGAAAAAGAGCGTTTCCATCGCGCAAATATAAAAAATATAGGAACCTGACAGATTTTGACACATTTGTCATGCTAAGATCCAGGAGTTAGCTAGTTTTTTCAAACTGCACGTTAGTCAAACTGAGGAGAACCTCACCTTAGATATTATGGCTTTTTTAAGATATACAAAATTCAAAAGGGTCACAAATAACTACCCCGACAAGTTTTTATATAAGGGTCACTCAGCTGAGGGCGGAATGAACATCGCTAATCTCTTTTTTTTATTTTTTTTTCAACGGTCTACAGCACTCCAAGCCATTCCATATACACTCGTAACTTCAAGCCAAGGGCCTCCACTTTAGCATCTATACATGTTGCTGATAAAGATATTAAGTCTCGTATTAACTCAATCGATACAGGAAAAGGCGCGGGTCATGATGGAATACCCACTATTTGTGTACATCGATGTGCGGTTGCTCTCATGAAAACCTTAGGTATAATTTTTAATAAATCCCCCAGAAGAGGTACTTCCCTGACTTACGTAAAATTTCCAAAATTATACCAATATACAAGTCCGGTGACATGAGGAGCGGCATTAAACGAGAGAACGATTAGCATTTTGAGTTAGCATTTTTTGTTTTACAAACATTTTTGAAAGTTTGGTATATGAACATTTGTATGCTCATTTTAGAGTAGTCATTAGCCACAACCAGCATGGATTTGTCAAATTTAGATCCAATACCTTATTAACTTATTCGCGCTCCTTAAATACAGTTTTTGATTAGTCAGGGCAAGTGGATTCGATTAACACTGATTTTGGAAAAGCATATGATCGCGTTTATCATAACATGATCTAGGGCTGCATGGCATTCTCCTGCGTTGGCTTCACTCAAATTTACAAAATCATCCTCAAATAGTGGTCATGAATCTACATCTTTCCCAACAGACTCAGGGAACCCTCAGTAATAAAATCTAGGACCTTTACTGTTTTATATTTTTATAAACGACCTGCTTAACATATTTAAGTCTAAATGGCATTTGCTGACGACACAAAACAATTTTACAGTATTCAATCCATTTTGGACTGTGCTGAACTTCAATCCGATATCGATATGTTAGTCAAGTAGTAGCAATAAGTTTAAACATGTAAAAACTGATGTACTATTACATGGGGAAGCACTTGACCCTGTTGACACGACTGTATTCCTTGGCATAACTATAGATGCCAAACTACAGTGGGGCCCCTATATTAATAAGCTGGTGAGTAGAATTGGCTCAGAAGCCTTCGCGGTTAAAAAATAAGACAGCTGACTGATGTAGATACGGCTTGTTTAGTATATTTTAGTTATTTCCACAGTATAATGTCTTATGGCATTCTACTTTGGTGAAACGCCGTTGATATTAATACTATCTTTGTCCTTCAAAACAGAGCTATTCGAGCGGTTTATAACCTGGGCCTCAAAGAATCACTAAGAAATTTGTTCAAGAGATTAAAATATTGACTGTTGCTTCTCAGTATGTGCTTGAAAATGTTATGTATGTCCATAAAAACAAAAATGAATTTTCAAGACATGCGAATGTACATTATATAAATACTAGGAAGAAAGGACTTAATTCTACCCGCAACCAGACTGCGTAGAATAACTAATACTTTTATGGGACAATATATACGTTTTTACAACAAAATCATAGAAAACGTTCAAAATGTATCAATTTCTAAATTAAAAAAATGTAAAGGAACGTTTGTGTTAAAGGCTATTATAATGTTAGTGATTATTTAAATGATAACACACCCAGGTAATGAAGTGATCGCTCCAAGCTCTTTCAAGTTACCTTTAATACATTTATAAATATTTCTTTATTTTATTAATAATGATATAATAAAAACGAAAGTCCCGCTGAGTTTCTTTCGCTGGTTCTTCTCAGGTCAGTGGCTTTTCTTTCCGAACCGGCGGTATCGTTTTGACAATCAATAAGGAAGTGTAATGCTTCTATATTGAATAAAGGTATTTGATTTTGAGTCGACTGGTGCGATAAAAATAAAATTTCACTAAACGTGGTTTGTTCGCAGCCTCAGCTTTAAGCTAGGTTTGGGAAAAAATCTGCTTATACATTGACAGACTTGCAAGGTTTAACCTGGATTCTATTCTTATTCGAATAATGTGTCTCATAACAGTCCTTTAATTCGAATGTGTAGACAACATAATAAATAATACAATATAGAGACAGATATATTTCATCAATGCTTGGCATTATTCAAAAAAACTATTAATTCCTCTGAAAATATTGAACTACTTCTTTCATAGAAGTTAATTAGTAAGTATTATTTATTACATACATTATTAAAATAACATATGCAAATTGAATGTGCTCGGTTGTTAGTGAAATATGTAAGTTTAGTAATATGTACCTATTGGTCTGTAATCATTGAGTCATGTTATAATTTGTATTTTGTAACCGCGCCAAGTGAATGAATAAATAAAACCTTCTTCCTAATTTATGTTGAAAGATAGTTCTCTCTGCGTTTCGAAAAAGTACCTTTGAAATTATTCATTCGCCTTAAGGTTCTTTTTAATTTTTTTCTCATTCTTTTTTCCCACGCTCTTTCTGCAGCTGAAAAGTAATGATTAAATTAGAAAATATTGTAATGTTTGGAATTTAAATTTACAAAAAGGGCTATCCATATAAAGGAAAGACGGCCCAGTATTCGAAACGTCGGGAATTAAATAAACTGCGATAAAATCCGCATATAAGTCTTATGTCATTATGTTATGTATGATTACCTTAAGTACAAGAAATCATAAAGAACCATACATAAATAACGAAGTTATGGCAAAGTATGTAAACAAGGTATCGAAAGGAGATAATATCATAATTTTGGCCAATCGATACCATTGCTGAGGTATAAATTAGGCACCTAAAGTTTGCTAGTCCTCATTTCGAAAAGTACCATTGCACGCCAAGCTATAAATTGGAAATAGTGCCATAATTAAATTTAGGTATACTTTGTACCCGTGATGTTCATTCGTTTGTGAACTCTACGTGACTCAGGGATTACATTCTAATGCAGAAGTTTTAGGACAGGACACGTTCTTTTTACACAACATTCTCTAGTCCCAAACTAAGCAATGCTTGATTATGGGTACTAAAAAACTGATAGACATACTTAAACATACTTTTCTTTTGTAAATAAATACACATTATACATATATAAACACCCAGACACTAGAAAAACACTATGCTCATCACACAATATTTTTCCAGTACTGGGGATCGAACCCACACCCTTTGGCGCAGAAGGTAGGTACACTACCGACTACGCCATTTGGGTCATATTTATAAACAGAGTATAAAAGATAAAAAAGTTAGTTTATTTAATCAGTTACTCGCGTTTTCAACTTTTTTTCAATTATTATATAATGTAGTACACGAATATTCTACTAAATAATGTCCAGCATTTGTGTCAATTTAAAATAAGTGTTATATTTTATTTGAATATATTATGTTTTAGAATATAACAATTGAAATCTCACCTATTCTTTCTTTTTCCATAATATCATTCTCAAAATCTTTATAGGCTTCGTAAAAGAGTTCTGCAATGTCTTGACGGACCTCAATCACTGGAATTTCCATAGCTTCTTCAACAGCCTTAGCTAGTTCTACGTAAGCAGTATCATAGCGCAGTGCTTCGTCGTTAACGTGAAGGAATATAGCTTTATCAACGGTTTGAGAAATAAGGGTGAACATATTCTCCGATAAAGTAGGTTCTGGTGTTGGTATAGGTTCTGTCAATAAACAATTTTGTTGTAAGCGTAATTAGTTTAGCATAAGTAATATTTTTTACCTTTACCTTTCAAATGTTGTACTAATCTAAAAGATTAGAAAATATCCTATAATAAGTGATAAACTGAAGAACAATTTTATGCATATAAATAATTAAACAAAGCTGATATGGAAATTATGGCTTATTAATTACTTTATTTATGACATTCGACAAATATCCTTCAAGATCCGTACAAAATTATATAATTGGCGTTTTATCGACGGATCACTTTAATCACAAATATCTGGTAAATCTAGTAATTGATTTAAATTTTATGCTTGTGTTTGTTTGTTTTTCAAATTTATTGATTCTTTGTTCACGCCTTTTGGCTTTTCTTTCACATCAGTCTATTCCTAATTATTTTTTGAATTAATATAACGCAATCCCATTCTGCGCGACGTTTTAAAACTGTTCCGCTTTACATTGATATAGAAATAGAACTTATGATACAGAAAGAGATAAAATATCATGTAGAAATTTAAAATATCGCGGTATTTATGAATACGAGTTCTACCATCGCACCAACACTGTAGAAACAGCTCGACGGATTAATGATGATTATGAGGATGTTACTGTCTCAATAACAAGCAAACTTTTAATTCTATTGTTACTTGTAATCAAAATGGATCCAGAAGAACCGGATTAATGCTGCCCTTAGTGTAAGTTGATTCAGAAATAGGTAGTGGTGAATTTTTGGTGGACCAGCGCTGGTATCATACACTTAGTACACTTTCTCTAGATCGGACCAGACTATTACAGCAGATCTGTATTTGAACAATAGCAAACCATGATTGAAAAGCTTGCTATTTTACAACCAAAACTGTTCAATTGCTCTAACCCACTACTGCTACAGGTCAATACTAGACCACATACTTCATCACAGACAGTTGCTAAATGAAAGGTGCTGCAATTGGAATGTCGTTAAACATCCACCATACTTCCCAGACCATGTCCCTTTTTTGGCAATATGGCAATTTCTTGCAAGAAAAAAAAAAACAATTCCAGTGGGACAGTCCAAACTGCCTTCGAAAAATTTATTGATACTCGCTACTGCATTTTTTCAGGAATAGAATCAATGAAGTATTTATAAATTGGAAAAGTGCAAAGATAATAATAGTACATACATCCATTGTTTGAATATATCTTTTTCATATTTTTTTCGATTTACTTTTTCTAAGGATCTTATATAAACCTTTTAGATTTTATTCAAGCTAAGCTTAACCATAACCATGACGTGGACCATGCCTTAATATCCTCTGCACAGACGTGGCTTATTCAGTGTTTCAGATACAAAGAAACATCACTTGTAGTATTATACACATTGTTAAAATTTACATAATATTTTGGATTGTAATTATGAATCAATTATATTTAATTATATTAATTATATTAATTATATTTAATTATATTCTTGAATTATACCTGGACTAGGAAGAGTAGTATTTGATGTTATAATTGATATAAAAGATGAAGATACAGTATTTGAAATACTATCAGTAGAAGCAGAGGTATGAAGATTCAGCGGAAGAAAATATTTAGCCTCAATTTTCTTAAAATCGTTTCTCATATCAGAATCATCACAGCGATAAACATGTTTGTTGTCCTGAAATTAAAAAAAGAGATTATGAAAATTGTGTTTCAACAATTAGGTGGAACATCTACATTCTATTATATTTTAACTGTGGTAGAACCATGCAACGGCTTCAGTTTTAGAATACGCAGGTGTGTTCAGGGTTGTACATTCTACGGTTTTTTTGGTCGGATCAACCACCGTTGGTCTTGGAAGGTCTTTACATATTCACCCTACTTGAGGAGGCCGGGCGCTGATGGCGCCTAGCCTCAACCTCGGTTACTGGTGACTAAGCTCGAGGGCTCCGGAGGGAGCCTCGGCTCAGGCCGTTACGAACGTTATTATTAGATTCACCGGTTTTGGAGGTCGCCAATCTCTTAGGTCGCTTTGGCGAACTCTTCATGGAGTGACTAGGCTCAAGGGACCTCGGCTTGGGCTGTCAGTCAATATTCGTTTAGCATTCTGATTCTAGGGTGCCCGAGAGGCCCAAACCTCGGCTCGATTGGTATCTGAAATCTGACTAGGAGGATTTCTATACTTGTCGTTACTACCTCTTCTGAAAACGTGGACGGAAGCGTGGCGTTGAGAGAAGAAGTGGCGGAAGAAACTCCAGCAACGCTTCTATCATTAAGGAAGGAAAACCTGCTAAGTTCGTGGTGGAACCTAGTATATGTTTGCAGCACTAGCGGGTGAGTGGATGTGTTCTCGTGTGTTTGCGTAACTGTTTAATCCTGTCAATGGCATTAGTCGTCTCATCGTCAGGGAAATCGAGGACGTGTCGCGTTCTATGTCAATTGCCGCGGAACGTACTTAGGGGTGGGGGTCTATAAGTGACGGCATTTACGATTAGCGGATTGAAATGCGCGACGCTGACTTCAGGAATTGAGCGATCGCGGGCAGATCTACGCGTAGGTCGGTGTTGCACATAAACCATGGTGTTCCGGCTCTACGCAAGAATCAATTCTGAATGATCTGAAGCCGATGTATTTGTTTTGGAGTAATGTGCGCGAAAGCCAGACTCGCGTATGTCATTACAGAGCGAACTAGTGCCATATATAAAGTCACCTTGTTCCGAAGGGACATTTTTAATGTCTTATTAAGTTGTAGATAGAGGCGACGGAGTAGGAAGGCCGCCAGGCTCTTGACCCGAGTCACGTGCTGGCTGAATTTGAGCTCAAAGTCCAGGATGATACCTAAGTATTTAACTTTATTTAACTATCCATGAGTTTAACGGGTGAGGGATTGAGCACATTTTTTGTGCGAGAAGTATACGGCTGCGCTTTTCTCGATCCTCCATTTCGGGAACTAGTTACCGATGGTGATGGCCGCAAACTGGCGCTAGAAATCTGACGTACAGATGTCATCTTAAGCCCTCTTAAATCACCTTTGACACGCTGCATGTCGTTTGTGTAAAGAGTGAACAGGACTTAACACCGACCCTCACACCCTCAGGTACACACCCTCGAATGGGATGCGTTAAAGAACAAAACACCTCGACTCGATAGACATACTATGGCCCCGCAGAAGACTGAATCTTAATCCTTTTGGTACAGCAGGTGGTCCACTAATGGAGGTAATCATTTAACGTCAAATGAACAACCTACTCGCTAAAAACAATCGACAATGAATTTAAAAATGATTTCCATTTCTATTTAAGCTACTTTTTAGGTCACAACATTAACAAACACAGAAAATAAACCGTCACTAACTTCTATGTTTTATAATATACATTCATTTTCATATACATTCAAACGCATGTAATTTGATACGTATAATTTTTATTTCTAGTTAAAACTATTTTATAACGATCTAAAGGAATTAAATTATATGTTGCCAATCACTGCTAAAAACGGATGGATACAAAGACATTGAGAATGTCGCGTGGTGAGTTTGGCAACTACTAAGCTTGAAGGTTTAAGCGTCTGGACGCCAAATCCAGAAGGCGCAAATTTGAATCCTGCCCACGACGACAAACTCAGAAAAGTTTTGTCTACACATTTTTCTGTAAACTTTATTTCAACAAAATTCACTTACCTGCATGTAAGGTTCTACGGCAGCTAATTTAAGTTTTTGCCGTATTTCATTATCAATAACACCGTATGGTCGTGTAAAAAATTCCGCGGCTTCTTTTAAAACATCTTTTCTCTTTGTCATTTGAACCATCTTCTTGACAAAAGATGTCATCATTGTACGAATCTTAAGAAAAATGATTAACCGTATCTTTCTTATTAATGATGAGAAAAAATATAAAATGAAAAAAAAAAAAAAAAAAAAAAAAAAAAAAAACTGAAGTCCTTTACAATATATATATACATATATATACACACGTAGGTTAACTTAACTTTCTAACCTGACCTATCCGAGTCGGATCGCTCTGTGTCGGATCTGTGACTCATTTTGAACCTCACCTAATTCATTAATAATCTAGGTCGAAAAACTTCATGATATATAAAAAATGTGCAATCACAAACCTAATCAATCGGTAAAAATAAATGTTGAACCTAATTTAGTTTAGTTGACAATAATTTAAATTATAAAAAATTGTAATCGATATAAAATTAAAAAAAAAAAGGTAAAAATTCCGAAAAGTACGTCTCGTTTTTCAAGCTAGAAAAAAATTTTTATCGATAGAGAAATGTAAATAATTAAATATTACATCCGTGAAAACCAAGCCAAACACATACTATTAATAAAAAAATTATTTAAAACTTGTTATGTTCACTAAATAAATCCGCTATTTTGTGTTTGACAACATGTATAAATTTACGAATTCACACACTTTTCCAAATTATAACCTTCGTATTATTAAAAAAGTCTTTAAAAATACTAAAAGTACTGTTACACTAAATTTTTCTGGGTGGTCATAAAAAAAAAAACCTAACAACGAAGGCTAAGGCGGGAGCTTCGCTCCCTCCTTAACCTTCTAACCTAACCTATCCGAGTCGGATCGCTCTGTGTCGGATCTGTGACTCATTTTGAACCTAATATTCGAGACATTAGGTGTACACAAAGTCACAAATTTTAAATATTAGAAATTGTTAATAATACATGTTCATGAAGTAGAAACTTGTGTTTTTGTGATATTTCTGTGTATTTGTGTCTTCTTACAACGTAAAAAGTGAAAACGTAAGTTTTTAACTTAAAATAATAGTCTATAATGAATAATGGACGCACAGTAACGGATTTCAGTTGTATGAAATTTAAAAACTTTGTTAATTTTTTCCTCATAATCTAGTGGTTTTCATTGATTATAACTTATATAATATTTAATTATTAACATTTCTCTATAGATTAAAATTTCTCGTTTTTCAAGCTAGAAATATTTAAAATAAATATTTAATATATAAAATAAATATTCGGAATATTAGCCAAAATTTTTTTCTAGCTTAAAAAACGAGAGGTACTATTCGAAATTTTAGCCCAATTCTTTACCAACATTTTAAAAACAGAAACTGGTAAATGTAAATAACTTTAACTCCAGCGTAATTCAATTGAAATAAATTTTAAACGATAGAGAGGGATCACTAATGAATTAATCAACAAGCAGAATTCGGCGGTCGCTTATAGTTTTCGAGAAAAAAAATATTTAAAACTTGTTTTTTGTACTAAGAAATCCACCATTTTATTTGTTTGACTTCAAAAACTCAATACACAGTTCTGCCAACATGATAAATATAGGAAGCGGGCGACAACATACACGTATCGATATTCCGATTTTTTTTAATTTAATGAATCACAGAACCGACACAGAGCGAATCCGACTCGGATAGATTAGGTTAGAAGGTTCAGGCGGGAGCGGAGCTCCCGCCTTAACCTTCGATGTTAGGTTTTTTTTTTATGACCACCAAGAAATACGAGCTGAATTGACATATTGACAACAAAAAAATGGCGGATTTCTATAGTACAAATCACACATTATTATTTCATTATTTATTTTTTCGAAAACTATAAGCGACCGCCGAATTCTGCTTGTTGATAAATTCATAAGTGATTTTTCTCTATCGTTTAAAATTTATTTGATTTGAATTACGCCGGAGTTAAAGTTATTTACATTTACCCAAATAAGTTAAAGATGAAGATTTTAAAAGCTTTGTAATGAAAATAAATACAAATAATAAATATAAAAAATGTAATTTCATTATTATGTTTAGTTTATAATACACTGATATTTAGTTTTTAATAAGTTAAGGGCTTTTAACCAAGATTTAATAAAATTTGTAATCGAGTTTCAAAATCGATATTAGTATATTGGCTGTATATAATTTTTTTTTTTTTTCGGTGCCTAATCGTATGTTAAATTTAAACCGGAAGTATTTCCCGCTCATTATTTAAAAACAATAGAATAGTGGTTATTCGTATTTGCAATGGTGGATAATATGTGTGCGTCTACGAGTAGTAGTGATATTTTATGTACATATTGTAATTTAAGTATTTATTCTTTTTATAAAATTTTATTTAAATCTGAATCAGATCGTTTAGTCCTTTTTAATTTTTTGTGTCGTCATGGAGTTCTTGTAAATACTGTTAAATGTTTTAAATGTGGACAAGATTGTGTGTTAGATTTACAACGGAAGATTTTTAGATGTTACAATACATATAATAAATCAAAGAAAAAAAAAAAACTAAAATGTAATACTCAAATTTCAATTTTTAAAAACTCTTTTTTTTATCATGTCAAATTACCTTTTGAAAGAGTGTGTGAGTTTGTCAATATATTCTTGCGCTTCCCCATTCGCGGCCGTATGCCATTAGTTATGAAAGAAATGAAAATATCTAAAGTTACGTACGTCGATTGGGCGAGTTTTATGCGAGAAGTTTTCATTGACTATTTAGCTAGACACTCTCGTCCAATCGGCGGAAAAAACGTGATAGTTGAAATCGACGAGGCAAAATTTGGTCGCCGCAAATATAATCGCGGCCGAATAGTTCAAGGACAGTGGGTATTTGGTGGCGTCGAGAGAAACAATAAGTGTCATCAATTTTTTGTGCCAGTGCCT